TTGGATCGAGAGCTAGACAGCTTGAAGCACAATTTCAAGAATGATGGTTTAAAAAGACGCGTACGTTGATAAAATCATATATATATCATGGGAGCGAAGGTTCATTTTCTCCAATGTGTGTTTGATGTCCGACGCGGGAGGAAATAGATACCTTTCCTCCCTTGATATATAAATAGCTATTATTTAATAATAGTAGGAATAACATGAATAATGTCGTCGTGAGACGATGGGAGGAGTATATAGTGAGCAGTTCCTTCAGTCATGAAACCTTTCAAGCCTGTTATTGCCAACCGGGACACTTTCTCTGGAAAAGAGGAGTATTTTCTGGCACATCCATGCCGAGTAATAACGGAGAAATAGGAAATTTTATAAATACTACTGATTGAAGTGTAACTTATTTATTCACTGTCAAGTGACAGGGATATCAAAACCTACCCACTACTGTGTGTTCCTCGCAGAGAAGCATGACAATAATAATTCAAACAAAACGCTCTCCAGATATTGATAATTCTGCAAGCCTATAAATGAATTCCTGAATTACTATTTCCAATACTTCCCATGGATTAGTTCACACCCATCGATGATTCATTGTCTCAATTGATTTCACAATCAACTTGACAGTTTCTCAACAGTCACCTACTGACAGTACATGTTTATTGCAACTATTAATACAGAGTAGATAACAATATACAGGGTTTCTCATTTGAATAAAAAAAGTTGAGTGTATTTCTGGTTCAACCGGAAGTAGAGTATCAACAAATTATTATTTCACTTGTCTGCGAAGTTTGAAAAATGTCATATATTTTCTTTCAACGATTTTCACTTGGTTCCATACTTTATCACAACCCTGTATGAATGTTGAATTGGTCAAAACGTTATCTCGTCATACTTGGTTAGGTGGTACAATTTTGTTGACCGCCGTGAGTGAGAGTTAGGAGAATTATTTCATGAACTTTCAAAAAAACCTACGTATAATGTATAATATGAAATACCTACATATTTTTGTCGTGAATTTGTTAAATCTATCTAAACATTTTGCAAGCATTGACAGCCAATTGGTTGTGGTGAATGATGAAATATGTATAAGCACGAAACGTTGAGAAAATACCATTTAGGTATATGATTATCTGGTCCAATGCATAATTATTGAGCTTGAACATATAGTAAAACAGTTTATGCAAATTGTAAAATTGAACAAAGAGAATCTCCAATACATGATAATGAATATCTTGATAATCCTTATGAATCGGCTGGTAGTAACCATTTTGAACAATTCAAGATAGGTCTGTATGCCACTACGTTCATTATCATGATGAATTTGAATCCAGAAATTTATGAGGATATATAAGTACTGCAAATTCGAAAGATTTCGATAAGGATTTGAAAAATAGTAGAGGGACGGAGCTAATCAAAATTTCAGGGATAGTTCAACAAACAAAGGTTGTCTCCCTTAATATTTGAAATTGACGTTTACGAACAATTTTCATCTAGTGTCATCACCATCAGTTAAGGATATATACAGGGTTGGGCAAAAATATGGAACCAGGTGAATATCTCGGTAATCGTTTGTTAGATCATTTTGAATATATTCACAGTGTGATTTCAAAACGTGTCGGATTTGGAAATGTTATCGTCGATGTTGCCACTTTTCCAGTTATTCTAGAATTATTATTACCTTCCTTATTTCAAATAGAACTCCCTGTATTTTATTGAATTCTCAGATTCTCCCTGAGAAGCTGGTTTCATCGATTCTACACTTGGGGTCTGGCAAGAATGATAACTGAGATATAGGGTAACTATATTAATCGAAAGTTTTCAACTTTAGGATTTTTTTGTGTCGAAACTATTCATTATTCGTCAAAACTGTTGACATATCCCTGCGTTAACTTTCGATTTACTATCTACCGACATTTAACTGAAACAAATACAGGGTGGTTCAAGATTCAGAAATCTGATCACCCTGTATTTGTCCCCATTAAATACCAATAGATAGTGAATCAAAAGTTTCGACGCAAAAAAATCCTGAAGTTGAAAAATTTCGATTTCGAACAGTAATCTCAGTTATCATTCTTGCTAGACCCCAAGTGTTATATGAATCGATGAAATCAGCTTTTCAGGGAGAATCTGAAGATTCAATAAATACAGGGTGATCTATTTAAACTAACGAAGTTATTATTAATTCCGGATAAACTGAAAAAGTGGCCATACATCGACGATATCATTTTCAAATCCAGCACGTGTTGAAATCATCGCGTACATATATTCAAAAAAATGTAACAAACGCTTACCGAGATATTCACCTGGACTTTTGCCCAACCCTGTATATTGATTGCTGATCGTTTTAAAATCGTCATCCTGTATGTATGGATAAAAAGACGGCTCATTGTTGTTTCCACAAAATGTTTGTAGTTCAATATTGAGAGGAAGGTGAATGTTTCGAGAAGTGAATATGTCCAACATCATCAGTCTCAAAATGTCTTACAACAATAATTTAATCAAATTATACAGGATGTTATTTTACTTTGATCCGAAGAAATTAAGTAACTGATAGATCTTAGAGAAATATTCATTGTATTATAATTATTTTCATAGTTTTATCACGGTGTCTTGGTATGTCTCGTCTACTATAGGAACGTGCGTTGAGCTTAATCTTGTCGATCCAATTTTGATTTACCTAATTATTTTTTTTGCAATTTATATTGGTAATTGAATTTCAATAAGTGTCTTTAATGAAAGAAATCAAGGAAAACTTGTAAAGATACACATTTTTACTACCTACATTCACCTCATGAAAGAATAGTTAGTTCGAATGTTACTGGAATACATTAGAATCAAGGAATTTGTGTTTTCATCCAGCTATATCCGAATGAAGCTGTTCAAGTGATGCTCTGGAGTTTCATATTCCGGAAAAATGGTGAGGGTACCTGAAGAAATAGATTCGAATGAGATTTAAATATTTCCAGGGTTGCTACATAAGTACCAAAGTAAGAATTAACAGCTCATATTCAGAAAAACAGTTGTAAAAATGAAGCAGACACCGGAACACTGTTTTTATCAGTTCATGAATAAAAAATGATGATAATAATTGACAACATCGTTCGAATCGACAAAATAGCAGTATTTTTTACGCTTTTCGAGATTCAAAAACAAAAATAAACAGTGGAGCATCGCGTTATCAGATTGAGACGAAATAAATAATATTTTTTTGGCATGGTTGTCAATTTACTTGACAAGAACACTTTTCTTTATGAAACGAGATACAGGGCTTTCATTTCAAAACTTACCACTTCACACTTCAACTTAACAATAACCAAATCAATAACCAGGTAGAACAAAAACATTTTGTCTATACAGAGATACACATACACGTCGATTATAATAACGAAAGGGAAGTTTAGAAAGGTACAAAAGTTTTGTCGATTTTCATTAGAGATATCATCAGGAGATCATTTCTTGTGGGGTCAAATCATGAGAACAATGGTTACTAAAACTCCGCCAGAAAATATTGGTGTACTCAAACTGACAACGATTCCAAAATGAAGACAAATTATTGGGAAAACGTTTGAAATGAATCGTCAAGAATTCTTAAATTGGATGTACTATTGAGTACAGATTATTGGAGCATATTTTTAATAATTTCATCGAGTACCTTCGACCTTTGTGAGAAATTGTAATTTTTGACCTCTCTTTTGTTAGTTGATCTCCAACACGATTCGTAAAAATAAATTATTATTCATCTGGTCGAATTGGTGTTTGTTTTCGACCGAATTCGATTCATTCCAAGGTAGGAGGTGCCATTTGAAATTATAAAGCATGGGTGACTCGGAGAAAAGGAGATGAGCATAGCATTCAATCAGAACTGGTATTTTACTCTGCCCTCAATCTATATGAATCAACCTATTTTTTTCGAAAATTATGACCTCTGCAGATCAGTATCTATGCTGGGTCTGGGTGGTATGATTTGAAATGGAAGCCCTGAATAAACTCAATGAACTGACCGGCAAAAACCATTGATGATATGTGGTGTACAAATGGATATCATGCTTCCTTCCTTCCAAATCTCCAGCTTTAAAGTGATCTGAAAATCCATATACTTTCGGAATATGTTCCTCTTTAGATTTCAGCTTCTCACCCTATATTTCTTCCTGTCCATAATATGCACATTTTACCAAAAAAAAAAACGAACGTTGAAAAATTTAGCATGAGCAATAAGACGAATGGACATTAATCATCTGAGAACTAATGTCCTGATTCGTTAGCAAACAATTTCAGGAACTGAATATTTATGACTCAGTATTTTTGTCTATAATGTTATTTTGGTTGTAAACGCGATATCCAAGGCTGTATTTATGAACTGTTCCCTATAGGCACTATAGGCTGCATTTGTGAAGTGGGCCCTATGCGAGGAAGGAAATTATACTGGGTGTCCAAGTAGTGTAGACAAGCTCTATATAGCTCCATTGTAATAAGAGATATACAAAATCTTTTCGGGGATATGGAACTATATCGTCTTGTCCTTGTCAACATATCAAATTTATTTTGATCTCTACGGGGAATGGATGAATTGAGAATTTTTTAATTGGAACACCCTGTATTTTTTACATATTTCGATTAGTCAATATATCGTCCAAACAGCCATATCTTGTTTTCACAATTCTTCTGCGGTGTTGCCAAGTTGATTGGGTTTATTTCCTCAAATTATAATATAGGTACATTATATTGATTTCAATATGCCTACTGATCTTTGTTTTCCAAATTTCAATTCAGGGATTTCCTTTCGTGCGCTCCAAGCGATAAGAAAAAGATACTTCCACTATCGTTTCAAAAGAAGTCGTCATTGAGAGTTATCTTGTAGAGTTATTAGTATTGATTCTGGGGAGGGACAATTCTTGGGTTATGGATTTAGTAAAAAAATTCCTTTTTTATATACGAGGGAGTGCAATTTAAAAAAAACACAAATAGGATAGGAAGCTTTTATTAATTAGGTAAAAACAGGTGCATTGAAAGCGTCATAATTTGTATTCAAATAATATACATCATGTGGTTAGTTATAACGTTATTAAGATATCAATAATTAACATATTGTGAACTTGGATCTGAGCGACAATATCCTTACACTAAGAAATATTCCTGAAACAAAACAAAGGCAATTAGCGTTATTTCACTGAAAATGATGAATAGCAATATCATACAAAGAGATTTGAAAATATCTGCAGCCCTTTATTAGTTTATAGGGTTCTTCTTCATCTTTTGGAGTGCACTAAAGGGAATCCGAATTATTATGTTAGGGCACCATCGTGCGTTCCTATAGGGAGGATTGGGAGAGAAGATATAGGTATTGGAATTTTTTTGAGCTCTTGAAACCTGTAAGTTTTTGGGAATACTTCCTTTAGCGAAAAATTCCGAAGCTTCACCGTCGTTCTGTAGACAAACGAGTTTTGGTAAAGAGTTGTCCGACAAAAAAATTTCGATGGGATTATACGTCGTGACTTACCACTTCCCCTCAACGCATTCTCTGTTCCAAGCAACTTTCCTCTACAAATAATCATCAATTCCACGAACCTGTGATGCAAATATGAATTCTATATATTTTTTTTTTCGCATGGAGAGATAATATATTTATTCATTCCAGAACAAAACAGTGTACATAGAAACGAATTAAAAACTGAAATGAATAAATGAAATATAATCGATAAGTATATAAATACTTGTTTCGAGATACTTAATCTATTATTACACTCAGATAAAAACATGGAAATAAGATGATGCATCTCAACAGTTGAACAGAACAGAGTCAAGAACAACTTTAACAAAAAAATAATGCAGAAAAGAATAAACTCGAGATGAATAATTATGAAAAATCAATATTCAGAAAAAAAAATCAAGAATAAAATCAATGTATAAGTATTTATGAACACATGTTATCAACAACAAAGTATGTAGGTACTCTTGAATTGAGGGTATGTTAAGAAGCATTATTCAGGTTCTCAGTTCTATGATGTCGTTGCACCACGCTCTTGAATTTTCTTGTATAAATATTTTCAATCTGTATACGAAGGTTTTGAAGCAAGCTGTTAATCTTAGTTCTTCAGGAAGTGAATTGTACGCCCTCGGTGCAATATAGATGAAGGTTCGCTGGCAAGTGGACTTGGTCATTCGTGGAAACGTATGATGATGTCTATGCCGTGTGATGTAGTTATGAGTAGGTAATCGAGCATGATATTCATTTTTTTTTTACTTGAGAATGATACTGAAATAATACAATTGCCTTATATCCATAACTTTGCTATCTCCATACAATTGATCTGAGGGATATCTTCTTGATTGGATCAAAAATCGGGGTGGGTGACCTCCAGAGGGTTGATATGCGTTCTCAGGGCCCCACCCCATCCCACGATATCATAACGTAGATGACTCTCAACCAGTGCACGATACAATATTTTTAGGTGGTTGAATGATAATATCTTTTTTAAGAATCTGAATTTGTAGAGGATTACACGTAATTTTTCAAAACATGAGTAATGTGTGAATTTCATTTCAGATGACACCTATAGATATTTTATTTTATCAACAGGCAATATAGTGAAGCTATGATTATGTGTTTTTATTTGGAGATTAACAAATGCAGGCCTATTTGTCACGTTGCAACTAATAGGTAAGTGTTTTTTTTTCTAGATTCACTGTTAACAGTTTATATTCTAGCCAGCTTTTAATCCGAGAGAAGTCTGTTTGTGCTTCACCTTTGAGAATTCCCCAATTTTCGGCTTCATATATAATCACTGTATCATCAGCAAATCCAATTATGTCTCTACTACTTTGCAATGGGAACAAACCATTTATGTGAATGTTAAACAATAGAGGTCCTGAAACACTTCCCTGAGGCACACCATATTCGATAACTTCCCGATCACTGAGAACATCGTCAATTCTCACTACCTGGAATCTATTGGATAAGTAACTTTTGAAGAGTTTCAAGCTCTGATTTCGCAAACCAATATCTTCCAGGGATTGCAAGAGCAGATCATGACTGACCGAGATAGGGGAGGAAATTGATCTGATTGGTTTCGTGTTCCTTTATGGATTCCTAGTATGATATGTTCAATTCTGTCTTATTCCTCCACATTTTCAATCGATCGAAATATCATGGAATCCAGCAATTATTATAGAAAGAATTACACACTTTCGGGAAAAAATTGTTTTCCAGCAAACGTCCGGGAAGAGTGCTCACTTCCCGGACGCTTTTCCTTTGCGAAAGTAGCATTTTTCCGGCCTAGTCCGGGAAGTACATACTTAATATGTTTCACATGGCAAAAAAGCAGATTTAATGCCATGGCTGGTTTCCTAACCTCCGCTATGGAACCCCAGCCGCGTCATTGAACCTTGTGCTTTTCTGCTTATTGTAAAACAAATAACAATTAATTGTATGATAGTGACTCAGATTGGGTGCTTTATAGGTTCTTAATATTGAGTGAACCACTCGAAATAATTATACAGCTTTGCTTGAATTTTATATCTATAATTTTCAATTATGCTTCATTTGACAAAAAAATCATACTTACATCCGATGCTTCATGTTGGTAACATTTATGTGTCAACCATGCATTCTCACAAGGAGAGGATCCCTCTGAAAATGAATAATACTTCATTCTTTTGGTTGAAGCACTCTTGTATCTCCATAATTTTTCACTCGGAAAATGAGTGAGGAGCAAGAAAGCAGATAGGTTGGTAATCTCTTCGCATTCAGAATTAGAACATCAAATCTACCATAGTCCTGCTACTGAGAATTTTCGAATCACACCTGAATAATTAATTATGATACTATGGTGCTCCCATAAGAATTGAGACAGAAGTTGATTTTTCAGGCTGACATTTTTCAGAAAAAAATATATTCATCGAGATTTCCAACATATTTTATGCACTTCAGGGATTTAAAGGGTACATTTATTCCCTATTTTCAGGAAAAAGTGCTATTTTGAATTCCTAGGGGATTAAAGTTACTCTAAATCCCTAGCGATTTGAAGTAAAATTTTTTCCCGCAATCGGGATCACTATAGTTACTGAGGTAGTTGATATGGTAATAATGAGCCTCTTCGATGACATTTCAGAAATGTAGTACTTACCGATTAGTAGCATTCAATTTGTTTTCGTTATTTTCAGCGTTTTATCTATTCTTAAGTGCATAAAATAGTATATACCCCTCAGGACTAAAGTGATTTTAAATCCCTCGAAAAATTATAGCCCTCCCGTTATAAACTTTTTGTCTAGGGTATTAAAAAACCACTTTATTCCCTAGGTGTATAATGTACTAATTACATCTTCATATATCATTTCCCGTCAATAACAGTGATTCCATTACTATTCTGGATAAGTGAAAATCAATGATGATAGCTCTATTGGTCCTGCAAATTCTAGAATTGTACCTCCATACTAACGGAAGATACAGAGGGATGCTTCCGTCAAAAATAAACTTGGCTGAAGATAACTGGAAGTGGTCTACATGATCTTTGAATGATTGATTATGAGAGGGTAATATCAGGTATTGACGTTCGCATTCAGGTTAATCCGTTATACTTACTGACTGTCCCACATTTTTTGATAATTGGTGCACTTCTAGCACGATATTCCTCTGGTAGTACTGCAATAGTAGCTTCTTCATCTATTATTCCGTCATCATCAATCTGAAAACAAAATTTTTCGAGTATCTTTTTGCATTTCCAAAGTCTTTTGATTCCTACTTTTCTACAATCAGTAATTATATGACTTTCTGGTATGAAAGAAGAAATGTAGTTACATATAGAGAGAAAGACATTGTTGTTTCAATTGAGCAAATAGAAGTTGTCATTCTCTAGAAGAGAAACGTTAAAGCTTTTGATAGAAAACCACTTTCTGGAAGTCTGACTCTTGATAATAATGGAGGCCAAACGTCCTGAAAAGAACGATTGGGAGGTTGCCAAGAAATTCATCACAGCACGGGCATTTAATTGTATGGGCAATTAAATCATGTCAGTCCTGTAAATCTCCCGGAGAGAATGGGTTGTTTCCAGCACTGCTGCAAAACGGCCTGGAAGTACTCTGACTCATTCTCATTGTATAGTGCTACCCAGTTGGGCTGCACGGACCCACATACAAAATCGGTATGTGACCAATCAGCCTTACATCCTTCCTGCTGAAAAGACTTGGAAAAGTGCTGGATAGATATATCTGGCGGGTCGCTTCATGCACATTACCCCTGAACAACCACCAGTATGCCTATCAAACGGGCAAATGGACAGATATAAAACTACATGGAGAAAATCACCCAATTCTTCAACAACAAAAAGATTGTGGTGGCCAATATTCTCTATAATGAAGGAGCATTCGACAATGCATTACGAAACTCTATTGGATCAGCCTCAGTTGATATGGGCATAGAACCAGCCGTCACTGGTTGGATCTACGCCATGCTCATGAATAGGACAGCTACTACATATATCTTCAAGATGAGGCTATCCTGTTCAAGGTCTCCAACGGTTGCCCTCAAGGCTTATGGTGTGTTCAGTCCTGGTGGACAGTTTGCTCAATGTCCTCGACCGAAGAGGGGTAGAGCTGCAAGGTTATGCAGATGACTCTGTCATTCTGGCAAGGAGCACGACTGTGAGGGTAGCCTTTAATATCCTCCAAGAAATTTTGAAGGATGACGCCCTGATCCCGAATAGAGATGACTGGTTGTTTCGAAAGGAGGAACTACTTACTAGAAGCAGATAACTGCTGGTTCACAGATAGTTCAAAAACACTCACAGGCTTTGGTAGGGGTTTATACGATCGCAAACCTAGCACAGAGATATCAACCTTTCTTGGGTACTATGCAACCATATTTGAGGTGGAAATTTAGGCCATTGATGTGTGTTGAGAGATTGGAATAAACCAATCTCACACATAACAATTAAAATATTCTCGGCTAGCCAAGCGGCTCTGGAACACTCAAACTTATCAACGTCTAGACTGGTATAGAACTGCCAGATATATGGTCTGGATTCCTGATGGCATGGAAGGTAATGAAACAATAGATAGAGGGTGTCGCAAGTAGTTTCATTAGGCCAGATCTCGCCATTGGCATCTCACCAAGTTTTGCCAATCATACACTGAACACCTGGACTGCAAGAAGAGTTCCAGACTTCTGGCAGAATCTACCAGGAATGCCCCATTTCAAGCCATTTATACAATCTTCAAGGCATGTTACCAAACAAATGTTAGAATACAGCAACAATAACCTACGCTCTTTAACAGGCCTTCTTACAGGCCACTGTTATCTGAATTATCACATGATGATGATGAAATAGCAGAACATGTACTTTGTGTCTGCCCCGCTGCGACTCGAATCAGGTTTCAGCTGTTTGGCAGGGATTCACCCTCGCCCTTAGACTAGATCACTCACCAAGTGAACTAATCGGCTTCATCTAGAAGCTGGATCTACTTGAAGGAGTATGAATTGGTATAACCTAACCTAACCTAACTTAACCTATATCAATAAATTGATAAAAATTACCTTTGGAATCGTCAATTTGAAAAAATCATTATGTTCCACTTCTGCAGTCAATATTTATCTATGCACAGAAGTGCACAAACGGCAAGTGCTGTAACTTCTGAATCATTTGAGATCGGATTTTGAAAATTGGTGGGTAGCACTTCCGGTGTCACCGCAAACGACCCTATCTTCAGATTTTTGAATAGGACATCTTATATTTCCATAATCAGTATGAGATTGTCATAACGAATTCAACTATACCAGATTCGTTAGGGTTTTTCCAAACGATTACGAAGATATTCTCGTTCTGAGTTTCCATATGCTAAATGGGTGTGACATCGCAATATCGAAACTTCTTTCTCTGTCCCACTTATTGAGCATATGGAAACTTAGAACGCGAATATCATCGTAGTCGTTTGAATTAAAACACTATAAAACACGGTATCGTTGAATACGTCATAATAATCCCTAACCGATTATGGAATAGAATACAGGGTGTCCTATTGAAAAATCAAAAGTTACGGTCGTTTCTGGTGAGACCGGAATGGATAGAACCAAACTTGTTTCGTCAATTAATGAACAATTTGGTATACTTCCTACCCACCAATTTTCGAGATATGATCTCGAATGATTTATAAGATACAGCACTGGCCGGTTTTTGTGCACTTTTCTGTATGTATCAAGATCGAGTGTGAAGTAATACAATTTCACTCATATGAAGAATTGACAACTTCTATCGTGTTGATGCTAACATTTTGGCAGCATATATTTCAAAATTGTTCAGTGTTAGGAGGTAGAGGTCAACTTACACAAGCCATCTGAGCCATAATACATTTTATGTAGCATTTAAAGTTTACATCATCAGCAAACACTCCATTTCTTGCATTGTATATGTCATCTGAAAATAAATTATTGATAAAACTTGGCATTTTCATCTTCTCCAGTCTGCACTGGCTCGAAGTTTTTCCGCAACAATATTCATCGTCTACATTCATCATAATATAGCTACAGGGGTCTTCAGATTGTGGTCGTGAAAGCTCGATAGGCGTTACAATCCGTGAAAAAAAAAAAGTTATTGCGAAAGCTTCGTTTTCGAGATACACAGTGAAATTTTTCGAGAAAAATAGTTTTTTGTTCACTGCTCAAAAATTTTTGATCTGAATTCCGAACTCAGCAGATTTGTTTTTCCAAAGGATCTTCATATTCCGTGAAAAACTGCATTCATTCCAATTAGATATAATAGAAGAGTATTTCTTGAAAGTTCAAAACAATATTTGAGGTTGATGATTCTCCACAAAATAACAATATCCAATGGTTGGAGTGACGTGATGTCGTTCACCATTTTGATTGGTTACGGATGGATCCATATGTCCGTGAACAATGTAAACTCATCTCTATACTAATATTATGAATGTGAATTCAACTTTGTTTTCCGGGCTTTCACGCCAAAAATATATATACTCATTTTCAGACGTATTAGAAAGGACATACAATACTTTTTATTGAAAAAAAAAGAAACATCGACACGATTCAACATTCAGACATGAAAATACGTAGTTACTTTAGATATTGATTATTAGGATACGTCACTTGGGGCTAGTAGGTCTTGGATTTTTTTGATAATGAAATGTTATTGACATATCCAACCAAACAAAAAGAATTGAAGATTTCGAAAATGATTTTTCTCCTCGGAGAAATCAAGGGCGTACAATATTTTTTCCAAAAAATCTACAGGATACATCCCTCACGTACGCCATTGGTAGAGATATTGAAGAATCTTGTGCATCGAAGAATGCCTGTTGATTCTTAGTAGCTGCATGTCAACTTTCATGGAAATATCTAGAACGGTATTGAAGTTGTGATAAAACGATTTTCTTCTTAAAATTTTAAAACCGTATAACTCGAAAGTTGAGAGGTTTAGGGCATATGTTCATATGAACTTTTCGTCTCAAAATGAGCTAAGGAACCATATCCTTTATTTTCAGCCATACTGTACTATACACCCAGTACTATAATGATCTTTGATGAATGATGAAATAAACCTCTGGTGCGCTCACTCTCCATTTGTTTCGTCATACTGGTTCTTGATATAAACAATTGAATTTCAGACGATGACGTGGGGTTCACATATTAAATGTTAGATGGCGTGATTCCTAGAACTTATGATCAACATCAGTTCTACCAACCTTGATGCGGTTAAATCGCAAAATGTATTACTTATCTTCATTGGTCATAATTCGCTCACAATTGTCACATTGATGCCTGTAATTTTGGTACAGCACCAGACGAAAATTAGCGAGATTTACCCACGCCATGTTATGTTTATCGAAGTAGGCAAAAATCAAGGAATTGTAAAACAGGAAAGAATTGAAGCGCGTACACCAGAGGTTTAATTCTATCAATCTTTGATGTTTATTCAAGCTAGTTATGTAATATCACAAAGTTGACACAGTGAATCAGTACAGACATGGATTTCCCAATATTTTGTAGCCACCTCTAACGATTTCAACGCTTCTTACCTTCTTTGGCTCCTGTTTCTTCCACACATGTTGCATGGAGCATATCGGCTAACTCTTGCATTTCTTCACTGAGTCCCTGTGAAATTAAAAACCGCGAAATTTTCACCTATGTAAGAATTTCAATAAATGAAGTGTTCGTTTATTGATTCTTCTTTCGCATCTTACTGGTTATATGTAACATATAAAAAGGTGACGAAAGAAATAGATAAAAAACTACGTTGAAATGTTCAGATTCATTAATTCTGATAGGTGATGAAACAACAGAAAAAAGTAGACTCTCATGAGAAAAGTTTATTTATAATATAATACAACATGTTTACGTGTGATTGAGACTTGAATAATAAGCGGAATTTATTTAATGAACATGGATATCCAGGTATACCGACAACTTGAATAAGGGGTGTTGAAGTCTGATTAAAAATAGCTCCATCATTTCGTATTGAAGTATTGAAATAAGTAGGACGCCACTGGATATCTTTGAGAAAATTGGTTGAATGCTAAATTACCCATTTAGTTCTGAACAAATATCATTTCTGGGGAATCTCACAATCAAGTCGTTTTCGATTAAGTTGCAGTTGAATTATGTTTGTGTATACGTATATGGTACATGAGAATGGGTATGCTGTCTCCAAACGGATTCAAAAATACGTTTTATTGATATTGAATACATACCTAATCAACCAGCAAAAAATGGTTCATTGTTATTGTTGTATCAAATATCAATTAAACGTATTTTTCAACCAGCTCGGAAATGATATATCCTTTATTATGCACATGGTACAGAATAATTCGAATGCAAATTGATTGACACCGGCTTGTTTGTCAAAATTTCTCAGGAATTCTTTTCTCTTCAAAATTAGTTGAGTTATTCAATAAATTACTCATTACTCCAGAAATCCAGTGACATTCAACTTATTACTAGAAAATGTGCATTTAAACATTGTACCGGTGCCTGTTTATGGATTACTGATGAACTATTTTCGACTTACACCATGGACGCGTGTCTATACAAGGTGTACCTCAAAGGTCTTTACAGAAACTCACTACATTTTCCTCAGAACAAAACTATTCGATACAAGCAAAGTCGCCAATGTCTGAAGTTATAATTTTCCAATTATCTTTGCTTCATATATTTGAAACGGCTCATGGGATTGTACTCATACTTGGTACGTGGGCATTGATTTACTGGGCTATGGTGATGATGAATTATATTTCATGGGTGTATGAAGCAGGAACGATTAGAAAATTGAAACAGAGGGACTTTTTACTGAGGTAACTTTGTTTGTAACGAATATAATCGAATCGTTCAGGCCTGGGGAATAGGTGGTAAGTTTTTGTGAAGAACTTTTAGGGACACCCTGTTTATAGAAGGATCATTATCTTGTATACCCTAATATTTGGAATAATAAGATTTCTCTGATTGAACTCCAATGCTGTGATTTCAAGTTTTTGTGTATTCTTCTATGCATGCTAATTATTATTATTAATTAACATGACTTTTCTATCGTCATTCGATATCTTCAACTCCATGTTTGACATAGAGAGTGTGATATTCTGATTTTTTTTTTCTATACATTAGTAGCGAATGATCAAAATCGTCGATATCTTCCAAAATAAACTTTATCACATTCCAAGTAAACACCAGTATTATCATTTTCATGTCATAACCTGAACCTTGAATCGCCATAATGGTTAATCATTTCAGAAAACGATATTGTTGGTGTTTGAACCTATATAGGGTGGCAAAAATTTCAATATGATTTGAATGCTTGGAAAGATTCCCAACGAACATTCATGGGTGTTAATATCACCTAAATTAATTATTCTGAGTAATAAAATATAATAACCTAATGTACTCACCATGACTGCATCACATGAAAGCAGTAATACAATGACCAGAACCCCCAACCCCATCATCTCCACTACCAGCTAAAATCTACTCATTGCCAACAAGAGAATTTCAATTTTTTATTTATTTTTATAGCGTATACTGGGATTCTCAATGTCAAGTTTGATTACATAACATTAGTTTCCGTTTGCATTTAATCAATTAATAAATAAGTATTAGTAATTAGAAATAACACACGGTATCTAATCACGAAAGACAGTGATTGAAATTATGAGTCATCATATTTTAGGATAATTCGAAAATCTTTTTTATTTTGTTCACAACCATCCCAAATGGAACGATGATATGCGTTTTGGTACATTTGGCAACATGCAGCCTACATAATAACATACCTCGCTCATTGGTCCCCAAATCCTTATCAATGGATTCCGTCTGCAGATGGTGCATTTGTTTTTTTGTCTTTAGTTTCTGGAATCTGGCATGTGTGTTGATTTTTTAAGTCATTGTTTTTACATCATATACCATTTATACAGGGTGTCCATCTGCAGATTCTATAGGAACAGTCCAGAAATGGCCCTTCAGTGGGTTATAGCCATTTTAAGGCGAGCCCAAGATGAGGATTTTTGTAAATATTTTCGAAACGTTTTTTTATAAGATAATCAGATTCTGTACCTATATAACTAATTTTTCATGACCAATTTGAAAATGTTGAGAACATTCCAGCATTTTGGTCAGTGGTGTGGGAAATAGATGGGGTTATTAGGGGCACTTTACTCTCATAACTTTTTTGTTGAGTTCGATAGCTTTTACTGTTTCGAGATCAATTGATTATACAATTTTCCTATACGTAATGGAAATAATGCTCTTTACATAATAGGGTACCAAATTTTCCCAAAAATTATGGTTTGATGATAAATATCTTCTTTCAGCATTCACATCCGATGTTTTGATACAAAATAATGGCACCCCCATTATAAATAATTATTATAGAGGTCGGTACCCTATTATTACAAAGCACTTTTATTATTATTACGTAGCAGAGTTATATGAAATAAATTTTTCTAGAAAATGGTGAATGTTATCGAAACTGAACGATAGTACTATTTTTGAGTGAAAAGGTTGATACTTCCATATTTTTCTATCGTACTGCCAAAAATGCCATAAACAAAAAAGTTGGGGGAAATATATAGTGCCCCTAAACCCCTACTATTCCCCACGCCCCTGATTAAAATTCCGTTAATGTTCTCAACATTCCCAAATTAGGTATAAAAAGTTAGGTAACTGTACAATATTTGGATATTTCATCACCAAGGGCTTGCCTTTGAATTGCTGTATCACCCTGTGAAGGCCATTTCTGGACACATGTTTATATACACTTTTTCAACTATATTTGTTCCTAGAATCTGCAGTTGCAATATTTCTATATGATTTCGGGACACCCTCTTTGTATACCTAATGATAAAATCCAACAAAATTATTTTGTATAGATGAATCAAGATCGGATAACGGATACGTTTATAGAAACTTGCTTGAAGGATTTGAAGGGACTGAAAAGTGGTTAATTAAAATACATTTTCGATGTTCGCACATGGTAAATAATTTATTGATTTTTACAGATTATCATTCAACTGCTTCAAAGACGACAAAGCTTACTTCATACTTTCTATTTTCTTCCGATAAGAAGTATAATATTATGCATAAAATGCTATGGTAGGAAGTAGGCCTGAAAAAAGTTAACAAAATTAATAACGATTCCAATTCCTCATTCATCCAGGCGCAGATTCAGGATTGTGCACAAGCTTTTTTTTATTTGATGCACCGTAGACAATTCTTTTTTGTCTCTAGTTGCATGCTTTCACATTGGAAATAAGTGTTTCAGACTGATAAGTATGAATGTGCAGCTGTGAATTTTGATGAAACGATGGATTGAAAATAAATATTGATTTTTAAAATGTAATATTTATGGGAATATCAGATTAGGAATTCAATATTCCTGAGTATATGTCTGTCACCTTGTATTAGGGATGATGATATCCATGGATAATATGAACATTATTATTAATACAAAAAAAATATATAAAAAGTATATTGGAATCATTCCAGAACTTGAATATAAAGTTGTTACCTTGTGGGAATGATATGTCTGTTACCCTGTATTAGGGATGATGATATCCATGTATAATATGAAAACATATGAACATTATTATCAATAAATAGAAAGAAAGAAGTATATTGGAATTATTCCAGAAATTGAATATAAAGTTGTTACAATATTGAGATATACTTAGGTAATTGACTAAAATAATATGACATTGGAATCATCTTTAGGTTTTTGGGGGGGAGCCTGATTGCCCCATATTGCCTTTCCCTCCTGTTTCCGCGCCTGCTGAAATGATTATAGATTGCTTTTTTCTGAGTACCTATTTGGTGAGAACCAAGCAGAATATTGTGCAAAGAAATCAATGAATACATTGATTTAATACCATACTAACCTGGGGAGATTCAGCATAGTAACATTTATGTGTTTGGAACATGGAGTCACATCCGTCTGAACCAGCTGAAAGCATTAATTATTTCGATATTAAGTATTTATATTTTTATTGAAGTGAGAATTTGGTAACTGCGTGGTCAGGTTTACGCAAATTCATGAAATAATGTATTCAGTGAACTAAGAAAATATTTAGAATTACACACATAGTTATACATTCCTATATCGGCACGTATAATAAAGCAAATCAGCTAGCATTGAGAGAGAAAAAAGTATTTTTCTACTCACATACCTAAAATGACATTTAGCGTACGGATATGTATCGCTAAATGATCGATTAATCACGGATTGTCGATCTGTGATTTATTGAAAATATTAAACACGTTACCATGGCAACACGATTTCTTAAACACATTACCATGGCAACGCAGTTCATTAAAGACAGCTTCAGCGCTTTGAGACATGTCTGGCCTGTCAATTGTATTAACTGTCAACTGTTATTTTCAAATTTTGCATCAGAATTATTCAAACAATATTCGTTTGTATCAGAATTCTTCATTAAAAATATATGCGAAAAGTAGACGAAAGTGAAATCGAAGAGAATGTTCTGGTACTTGCATATCTACAAGAAGTGTAAAATGAAACATCCATCTTTGAGAACAATTCATATTTTCTGCTCTAAGCATGACAATAAACATAAAACAAAGGTTAGTAAGCAATGGATTGGACACATCTACAGCCAATATCTCTTATACGTGTCTCGCTGGTTGCATGCAGTTGCATGTATTATGTTCTCAATTCTCATTCCTTTCGAATTGCTTTGTAGGTTAGCAGGAATAGCAGGTATGTTAATGTAATTTTAGGAGTTCGTACAAAAAGCATGGTATGTAACGCGTTCACAAACTGTTCTAGACACTCGTTTATTAAACACTGCTCCGCTCGTGCTTAAAATACTCGTTACTAAAAGGACGTTCAAAACACTCGTTACATAATATACTATTCCCATCTGTCCTTATCTTCAGTGTTCCAACGTGAAATTATAAAAATTTCATGTTGGTAACATTGGAAATATGAAAAAATGGAGAAGAAGATCATGTTGAACTCAATATAAATATGGTTAAAATCGTCTTCATCTCCATTTCTTCCCATACCCAGTGTTGCCAACATAAAATATCCACTATTTCATGTTGGAACACTGAAGACAAGGGCATATGGGTAAGACATTTTTTTTCTCTCTCAACGCTATAGCTGAACTGTCCTATAGGTAAAACGTAGATAGAATTGCCGAAATTCAGGTATTTCTAAAAATGATTTTGTAGTGTGGACAGATGAGAGGAGAGATGTTGTAAATTAAGGAGGTTTTTTGAAGGAAACGAATAATAATTCCCCCTCTCCTATTGAGATACGACAACTTTATGTGAGGACCAGAAGTTCAGTTTCTTTCTGAATATCTGATTGGAACGTATGAAGTTGAATAGAGTTGTTTGTTGAAGAGATATAGGTACTCAATGGATAGGCAATTTATGATTTCTCTTCCGTTAACTCTTCATGATTTTTTTTAAAGAAATTATATGTGTGAAGCCTCCTAAATTTTCAACCAAGAATCATCTCCCAGATTTTTTCGCACATTCTTTCACAACGACTCTGCATAGGGAATAAATATTTTGAATTGCATCAACTATGTCACCTATGTCCGACAACATCAATATTTGTATATTCCAGAAACAGGTTATTAGATGAATCTATCCTTACCAACTGTTCCACATTTTTCGAATATTGGTCTGGCTGTACTCCGTATATCCTCAGGAAGTATTTCTAACAGTCCAGGAACGTCAATTTTACCATCATCACCAATCTAGAATAATGATTCAGTTCAATACTAATTATCGAACATCTTTATTGCTTTCAAATCATGTATTAAGTATAATGCTCTTTCATTGTGCTGGTACAATAGTATATTTTCTATGGATATATGTTAAGATTACACGATTTTTACGGCATTGAGGAATCTATGGGATTTATCTATTTCACAAAGATCACTGGAACAGTACTGATTGAACGATGAATAAAGGATACAGGTTCCTTAATGTCATAAAGTTATCAATGGAATGACAATGGACAATCAGCCTCTCAGATTCATCATTTTATTGTTATTTTTTCGACATTGAACAATGGATGTGTTTTCCTTAAGGCTTCCATTGAATTTTCCTCTTTCTATCCTTGTGCGCATGAGTCGTCATCTGTTATTATGATGATGTGAAGTGAACAAGTGGAAAGATAGAAGGTTGTGAGGGTGCATTATGAAACCTCATCAATTTGAAATAACGAATTCAGTTGAATAAACTGATATTCTTCTCTGAGAACGGCTGCCTTCTGTTTGTTGACTCCGTCGATTTGTTGTTTCGTCTTCCACCAAGTGTTGCCTATCTTATGCACTTCTTTCACCGTACTGATGAGGGCTGAGAGCCCGAAACACGTGTCTGCGGTTAATTCTTCCTGAGGTCTATGTCCATTAATCTTCTTCTAGTTTAATTATCATTATCATCATTAGTAGAATAATAATATATTCTTTCTTCATAACCTCAAAATTCTCTCAGAATGGACCACATCATTTCCAATGAAATGCACTGAAAATACGTCAGTCAGTAATCACTGAGCCAATAATGAACAAGCAGTAAATGGGAATACTGCATTGCCAATATTGGCGTTGAGTCGGCCAGTGGGTTATACTTTCGTTATTCACTATTGAAAAATGCCAATATTGAGCCTTATGTAACATTGCTCTGAAAGTGATGGCCCATGTATTAATGTTTGCTAGGTATCTTTTTCTATTCGTCGTACTGGATCGAACTTTTTCCGGAATCGATGATTCTTGTCTTTAATCTTTATAATAATCATGTGATATGTTATATCAATGATGAATTCACACTGAATACATTATATCAGTCCAGTGGAAAATGGTTCCAATTTTATTTTCTCGTCAGTAATATATATCAAGTTCCACCACTTCAATTCTCTATTCTGAAATTGACCAGTTTGAAAAAATGTGTCGGATATACTGTTTCGTTTATTATGTATAAACATATACCATAGACGAATATTCTGTTATTCTACTTACCACTCCAAGCTCCTCGAAAATACACTTCATGTAGCATTTCAGTTTGTTATCCTCAGCAAAATCACCAGCTCTAACCTTACTGATCAAATCTGGAAATGAATAGCTATACGTTAATGATTAATCATATTCAAGGCAAATTTATTGAACCGCTGAGTTTGCCTGAACCTTTTCTACTATTGATCAGAGCTAAATAGCCAAACCCAAGCGTTTGCTTTCGGCGAGGACAGAAGTACCGAAAATATCAATTACTCCTGCAATGTTGCCGGACGTTCAATAATAGTTGAAAGATGTATTCCATTATGTCTCATACATCAGCATTCCATTTTATTTATCGCGTCATTTTCAGAAAGACTCTGTACAACCTGTTAACGTGCTTTGGAGACAAAAATTCGATTGTACAGTAGTGAACAACCTCTCTTCGGAAATGGCAGCAAGATTGAAAAAACGACTATTTGGAAATCTCATAATTTTTCATTTCTCGATTCAATCTCTTTCGAAATCCAAGGAATTATTATAACTTGTGAACTAGTCATTCAAAGAAATATATCGAATAGTCAGATAAAATCTTTTCTTTACTGATGATATACTGGAAAACATTAGTAACACTAAACTTGAAAAGGTTATTGGTTTCATCCACATATCACCTTCTAAAAACATGAAGAAAAGATGAATGAATGGGAGGGAATATTTTGCAAACTCTTATAGCATGTCCAAAAATCCATCTTGAATTTAAAAAAAAAATCCTTCAAAATCGTTATAAAAAAAAAACGGGTTTTGAAGAAAATCTTTTATATTTGAAATAAAGTAGATTCGATAGGTCGAGTTTTCATCTCACTGTGAAGCATGCGAACATTTACTATATACATATTTTTTCCGTTCCAAATTTCATTTCTGAAAAATACGAATGAAAGAGGAACTTGGCTTCTTCATCATTCCTATGACGTACTTTCTAAAGGTACTTTCTGAAAAACCACATTCACACAGAGCTGAAATACGATTCCCTGTGTCAGTTCGACGTTGCCGATATCATCAATATGCCTATAGATTTCCGGAAATTGCTCTTTGAATACATTATAACTGTATTATAACAGTAATGGGACATAATAGGTTTTTTAATCCTACTTTGTCGAGCATCATGAATAATTTTCATAAATCTCATCTTCTGGATGAAGTTGATTACTGATAGGAATGAATTATGATATTTCGCAATAGTATCCATGATCATTCACTTTCATTTCAATAAAAAATAATAATCATAACTTGTCAGTTAATTTTTTGCAAATTAAGTCGTTTGAAACAGATCTATTTTCTGGAAAAGTAGCAGATTATATCTTGCAATAACGCATAATACTCTGAGCTTCTCCACACCACACAAAATACTGATAGGCACATCACGAGAGCAGATCTGATCTTGTGATAAGGTATGTTTTTTTTTACCAATCTTACTCGTTAGCGATTCGCTAGTTATATTCTTCATCATCAGCTATATCCAGACTAGATTCAGTACTTACGTCACAGTTTGTCGCACCAAATTTAGAAATTGCTATATTTTTAGAATAAAAACGACTTGGACTTCATCGATCGCCATTCTGTACAGCGTGGACAAAAAACTGAGTAGTACTAGTACTGAATTAATTTTATGAAAATTCATCTGAAGGAAGCTTCCCCATGATAGGGTGATATGTTAATACAAACATCACAGACTGGCTATACCTAGATATCATACCTTCCGAACATCCGGTTTGAGAAATACATTCGGCATGTAGGCCATTCATCATCTCTTGTTCTTCTTCTGTTAAGGCCTGTAGAACAATACAGATTCTTGCACAAATAAATTGGATTTTCGCACAATATCACAAAGCTCAATGATACTTTTAATAAGTATCCGAAAAGGATCCTTACGAATACTGACTAATTATGAATCGATTTCTGGACAATATACCATTTTACGCTGAGCTCTGCTTTTGACACATTGGATATCATTATTTGTTTTTTCTTTATTGGCAACATCAACGATTTTGTCATTTCACAAAATGTTTTCGAACTTTGGATGAAATTTGAACAAAGGAAGAGCAGGAGAGCCTGGATAAAATGTGTAATCAGCAGATGAGGAAATACTTCCGAAATGAGCGGAAACTTATCATTTCATGAGTTCACAAGAAGTTAAAAAACTAAAAAGTGAGCACTATTAATTTTTTAATCAGAAGGCAGATTCAGAGTAGGTACATTTGGTCCCGCTTGTCTACATATGTAAAATGAATTCATCCACCTTTTGTGGTTTCTCTCTGTAAGCACTGCCAGCAACAGTCTTATGAATAAAGATATTTTCTTCATTGTCATGCAGTGTTTATGGTTTCAACTAAACTAAGAATTAAACTTACAACTATGAACTCAAAAAGTTGAATTCAAGGATACATCTATTAAGGTTTATACCATAACATCTTTTATTTAAATTAAGAATTACTAAGTTGGCCAACTTTCAACTTGACAACTAACAATTGGGGAATTCTGGAGACAAAACATGAAGATTGGATTTGTTATTGTTCAGGTGGAGTTTGGTGACACCAATTTGAAATATTTTTATGGATTCATGGATTGTGGAGATCAAAATCACTTCCTAACATCATTTTGATCTTTAATCAGAAGACATTTCATCTTCAATTCTCAATCAATATCAGATATGTATTAACACCCTCATGATTATTAATTGTTGAAATTGTTAATTCCTAATAATCGTTAGTTTGATTGAATCTGTAAACCCAGCAACGATGATGTTCGACTGAATGTCGAAAATATTTATTCAATATTGAAGTGTCGTTCACGTATAGTTAGTATTTTTCATCATGGAATGATAAAAACTACCTTGGTAATGAAATACCACTTCAAGACTTGAATATTAATGAGTAATGGTGTGTTCTAGGGTTTTACATGGTGTATGGTTCACAGACGCATATCTGGAAGGAGGTGCGGTAGGTCATGTGATTTTGAACATAACCAACCATATACATACAAAGTGTTACACTTTTCGAGAAATCATCGCTTATAAATTCGAAGTTGGATGTTACGAAATACGTATTCAACTTCGGAAGAAACGAAGATACAATTAGATAAAATGTTCGACAAAACGATAATATCACGGAAATCGTGATACATTGTATAATATTTCATATGTTTAGATATGTTAGAAATCTTACCGAACATTCCCTTTCAGATATACGTTGGTGAACCAAACATCCTGTATATCGGTGTTTCTGGATAACTTCGTTGGAGATGGCGAATATAATTTAAAAAAAAATCTAAATCTAGAGTCATATCTGCATCTGATTATTTCTGATCAAAACTTGATCATTCACAAGTGTTGACTCGAAGCTCTTAATATCAAGAGAATATTACTTACTGAAACACCGAAGATCAAAAAAAGACCAACAACCACGGGACAAAACATTTTCTCACTATTACGTTATCGTTATTGTTAAAAATACAATGAGAGTCTGATGCAATTTCAACTATTACATTTTGTATCCCTACCCCCCAAACAATGTTTAGTAAAAATCACTAATGCTATACAATTTTCTCTCCAAATTATATGGTTATCACCACTTACATAAATTATAAATGGTGTTTCGATGATCAACGAATGAACATATTTAATATAATTGGATGTTTGAACGGAGGATGTAGGAGTTCCTAAAATATTTATCTGAAATTGTCAATAATAGACTGACTCAATAGTTACTTGAATGGATATCTCTGGGTCAAATAAATGAATCCACACAAAACACAAAAAAAACGATATAAAAGTCTATTATATGTCGGTGCCGTTAGATTTAAATTAACATTATTGGAAAGAAACTGTGTCTCTTGCTATTATCATTAATTTGATTTAACGTGATCTGTTTATGTGATGGTCGTGTTGGAGACCACTTATGGTATGATTTACCATGTTGAGTCTAAAAGAAAAAAATGAAAACCAAAGTTGATAGTTATATCTTATTTTTGGGCTTGGCTCATCATAAGCAGAAGCGCTGTCAAAAATATGAATAATTTCGAACACACGACCTTTCTTTAAAAAACTGCAAACTCCTGAATTTTGAATGAATATGTCCTAATCCACTCAACCCCATTGTATAATCACCCTTTATAGGGCACCCTTCACCCTGAAATTGTGGAAAATAGATTAGATTGATCAGATCATTGTGAACTTTCATTCATTTATTATAAACCTAGATGGGTGGAAAATAGTGATGAAAATTTTTCTCAAATAAATCATAAATCAATGTTGTTTAATACATTTACATTGTTTTTAATGCTTATCTTCTGCAAGAATAAATGACATTAAATACCCACCTGATGATTGCCTAGTGCCGGAAACGTTCGAGTTGCTATTCAATAAATAAGTTTTTGTACTATAGCCTGAGTCTTACTCATTAATATTGATTATGAATAAGAACAACCCTAATAGCACACTGAAGTCACATGGATATTCATAGGATGTCCCGCCAGGACATTCGGGATGTCCATAGGACATGCGTTCTTGGTACCACGGACATCCATATAGTACGTCCCTAGGCCGTCCTTCTGTTCCGATATGTACGCCCTAATAATGTTTCAGGACATCCCTTCAAGGTCTTCTGGAACATGAGAACAGCTTCAGGCAGTATTCAAAAATGTCTCCAGAACATCTCTTGGTGACTTTTTGGGGATATTCAAAATGAATGGGAGGTTGATACACATAATAATTTTTTGATAGAATATAGGTCTCATGATATTTTGTTTAATTTCCCTTCATTAATTATATGTTGAAATGAAAAACTTACATTCTATTGTTTATAACCTATTCCGAAGAATTTCGAGTTTGTTTCTAAAGAAATGTATTTCAGCTTCTTGTTGAGCACTACTAGAAGTGATCGCCTATATTGGTAGTTTTATATTTCTGCATGGTGTTTTATGGATTTCTGAACCCTGGACATACTTCCTGCTATTGAATATTTACTGAAAGTTGAAGCCTCATTATATGAAGATTTCAGGAAAGGACTTGGTGAAAACTTCATTATATTCAAATGTATTCAAATGTTGATATTGCTCGTCGATTAGGATTAGTTCGTATAGGTACAAACTTTTTCATCAAAGAACTGTCAGTGTGTTTAAAGGAGTCTAGGAATATATATAGACAATACAAACTCCGTTAATGTTTCGAAGGTTATCATTCTATTATGCAAGTCAACTTGTATGCTTGAATGCTTGTAAATAACGTATGTATGTTCTAATAACAATATAAAATGGTATTATTTTTGGAGAGGAATTGCTGTATATCATTAAATAGATCGCATGTTACAAACGACAAACCACTATAATTCAAATTCTCAGATATGAAATGACAATCATAGCCTCCTCATGCCAATTCTGTTTTGATGAAAATTCATATTTATTGCACTCAATGCCTCAACGCGGGCCGTTTGAGAATACTATTTCCAAACCAAGGGGTGTAACGTTTGAATCATATATGGGCACTCCAGTCACAGTTAAAAGAATACAAATATATTTGTATTCTTTCAACTGTGCTCAAGTCATAACATAGCAATCCATTTTGGCACAGAGATTTCTGCTTCACGGTATTTTCCGCCATTTTTATTTGATATCCTGGAAAATCGTGGATTTTGCTAATAATCAAAAAAATTATTAAATAATGATCAAGTTTAGGGGAGGATGTTGAGCTGAATTCTATTCCCACCGGTATCAGTTTTCAAAAATCTGGTTATTATCAAGACACAGCATCGCTAGAATAGTATGTGTTGGTTCAACTATACACACAATTTATGAGTCAATATGTTGATTTCCTGATATGATGTCAATAAGCGCAAGTGAATCTGAAATTTTTTTCGAATTCTTAGTGGTTCTGAGAACTGCATGCGAGTGCATTAGTACATTAGAATCAGAACCAAAATGGTGTTTACTACTCGCACGAATGTGAGATAGGTAACAAGATTTTGACCCCGCATCTAACATTCGAAACTGTATGATAATTGAAATGAAGCTAGTAAGTGAATTATTTATGTAATTTATTCATCACATTCAACAAAGACAAACTTAAATTTAGGTTCATCATTTGAAACGATGTTGAGTTTAAGCGTCTTCATTCTCCCATGTGAAGTATGGTCTAAAAAACGTGTATTTCAACAACAAAAAACTTAGATACTAAAAAAAGTAAATGAACATTTGTGGTTCATTCTGAGGATTCTCGTAGAAGAAGCAACTGACAATATCGCAAAATATGATTCATTCATCGAATCTATATCTTTTTCTTATATACAAGGCGCGGTGTCTCAGCTAAAACATCATGGCCAATTTATTATATATTATTTATTAACATTTTCAGCATCTGAACATCGTGGTCGATTTCTGAGTATTATGGCCCTAGTGTATTAGTTGATATACCGGATATACATTTATTCTTATTTGAAATGATTACTTTTCTTTGCATGGAGAAACGTGAATTATGTACAATAATGAAGATGGTTATTTACAATAGTCATGTAGATATAATTCGTATACCTATCAATAACAATAAGCTCATTTACATGATATAAATATTGTAATAAATAAATCTATATGTATGTACAACATACATGACTAGCTGACTATAGGAGACAGATTTGATTTTAGTAACGTGAGTTGAAATATTTGATGTATATACAACATCAGGGTGAGTCAAGAATGTGTACCGAGCTTTCTGGAGGTGATTGTACAATAAAAAATAAGTGTATTTTGAAGTATATCCCAAAATGTATATTAATAAGGGAGATACATAATATACTTCCCAAGTTGATGAAATTGAAACAATTTTCCCGCATAACTTCTAAAGAATAAAAACCACGACATTAATATTTCTTGCATAAATGTCGATGAAATACATTTTTCTGATACACTTCTACATTTCTGATATTTTATGAAGGATGTTTTTGGTGGGTGGGTCACGATTTTCTGAAGACAACTTATTTCCATCCTTCCTGAAACGGTTACAGTTTTTGTTTTTTGTTGAGTGTACTGTTTTTCATGTTTTTTTTTCGCTCTATCGAATGGACCTATATTTTTACCAGAAAGAATACGAGGAAAAAGTTGTCTTCGGAAAATTTTGACCCACTCACTGAAAACACCCTTTATAACAATTGCAGAAATGTAGAAGTGTATCAGAAAAATCTTATCAACATAAATTCATGAAGGAAATATCAATGTGGTGACTTTTACCGGAGAAATTATTTTAATTTTATCAATCTGAAAGGATACATTTTGAGCCTTCTCCTCCAGAAAGCTCGGTACACATTTTTGACTCACCCTGTATAATCTCAAGATGAATAATTCTTTTTGAAAACTGAATTTGGGGATTTGGTATAGGTACTGAAGCATTGAATAGACTAAATCACATCATATCAAATCACAGTACTGACAGTTATTCAAAGCCGATACCACACGAACACAGAATGCGAAGAATGCAGCACCTTATTACTGTTATACGAGGAGGAATTGAAAAGAATACCTTATTTTGAAGAGAAAAGTTCCATTTAGTACATCAGTATATATGACGTAGAAGGTTTCATTCAAGGGATACAGAGGGCTTCAAAGTAGAAAACATGAATAGATATCATAATATATTCGCTATAGAAAATATCACGTCGCCCTATCTGACGGCAACTACTAGAACCCTTCTGAGCGGTTTGCTTTGATGGTATGACCAATAAGCACAAACAAAAAACAAATGTGAACCAATGAAAACAAAGTAAACAGGCCGCTTTGACAGGTTTCAAGAACTCCGATAGGTGGTGTACGCTTATTTTCTATCGCGAATATCCCACGACCGCTCTGAACTGACATACGAGAACAACATTTTTCCCTCGTAATTCTGCCTAATTTACAGTAACTATAAATAAGCTTCTACACAGGGTATTTCCGAAATTGAAGCAATAAATGAAGTGTGTAAAAGAAGACAAAAGAACAAAACCCTGATAAAATATATTTTCGCCAAGAAAATAAAGTGGAATATTCATAAAATTCGAACGTTGAAGGTCATAATGCAAATGTCATTATTCATACATTTTTTTTCTAACGGAATTCGATGAGATGTTGTACGAGACATAAATAACACAATAAACCGCAATATTTTTTTCCAGTTGTTTATTTCAAGACTTTACCGAAAGCATATGCTCGGGTTTGACTGTTAACCTCTAACCGTACAATAATTTAATTTCGTTCATTTGTCTTCTACTACACACCTCATTTATCGTTGCAACCCTGTATGAATTAGCCTTAATTTATGATGCAAAGATACGAGAACAAAAATATTGTTTATCCACGACTGTTGTATACAATATTTATTATGATACATGTACTTCCTCAAGCAAAACGGTAGCCATTTTTCACACCAGTGCACCAGAACAGTAATTCACTGATCTAGAGTTCCTATAGGGTACGCGATATAACATATATGGAATTTTAAAAATTTGTGAATAATGGTTATTCACCTCTATTATTCACTGGTGTGAATAATGGCTATCGTTTTGCTTGAGGAAGTACAACAGTCTTGGACAAATAATTAATATAATATCTTCCTAATATCAAATGAGGTATTATAAAACAGTTGTCAAAAATAAATCTATATATAAAAGAGGAAACATTTTAGGTATAATATACGTCATTTCGACCTTAGAATAGGTCATCGACTTATTTGGCCAAAGTGAATATTACGTCTTATTCACTTCAAATTTACCAATATGATGAAAAAACTGGAAGTAATTCAGAAGACGAGAATAGGGATATTAGGGTATCCTGACCAATAGGTCGAGGAAACAATTAGGTGAAATTGCCCTAATTCTAGTACGATAGTGGTCTGATTTTAGTTATTCTGACGTTATTCATTACCTACTTATGGGTGGGTCTACCTGGTTTACTGTCATTTGGTTGGGTTCGGAAAACAAATATGTACCGTGTTTCACGATCGACTATACCTACTCATTTACGTGTGGAGACTTAGGAGTTTATGAACATGGCGTTCAAAAGAAAACTCGATAGTAGTGAAAGGTGTAGATAATATGCATGTTGTTTAGCTCATTTGAGGTAGTTGTGAATCGTTATTCAACCTGCAATGCAAAATTTATTGTGATAATGTTGATTTTACTCATGTAAAATTAGTGGGCCCACGAAATTATTGGATTTGTAGAAAAATACTGGATGATATTCTTTGTGTTTTCGAATTTTTTTTCAACAATTCCATCTGAAAATGAATCAACTGGTAGAATATGATCATATATGCGAAATTTAACCTTTTCTGTATTACTATTCATTAGGATGTGGTCGCTATGTGGACATTTCTTCTTTTTCCGTCAATGGCGAAAAAGGTTCGAGCCAACAAATATGGCGTCGCTTTCATATTGGACTTGAAAGTCGAATTTTCCAGAATCTTCAACTTTCAGGGCAAATAGGCTTCGTTCATAGTCGAAAATTCTGTATATTTTGACTATGGAGCCCAATTTCCCCATATTGGGATTTTAGACTATATCCACGAGTATATTATTTGAGTTGCAGTCAACCTGATGGATTAATATTATCAAATGTTCCCTATAATCATATAATTTGTCAAATGTTTGTTGTTTGCCTTCAATTTCCTATTCTGCACCACGGTATGTTTTCTAATTGGTCGCTGGATGACAGGCTTCATTTTTCAGCGAATCAGAAAAGTCCATCGCCGTGTTGTCATCTCTCGAACAGTGTTGCCGTTCTAGTACACTTTTAGTACATTTGCCATTTTTGTACGTTCTCAACCGAAGTGTGATAATTGATTTTTTTTATAAAAGTTATTTGAAATATGCATTCAGATCTGACCAATGGAATAAGTGGAAGTAAAACTTCGAATGTCAGAACAAATCGATGGTTTAGATGATCAAACATCATCGTAATGTACAGAAAGATATCATGATTTGCTTTAGAAGCGTTCAAGCGGTAAGCTACCTGAACCACTCACTGGTGATAAAGAATAAAACACCCAAAACTCATACATTGCCCTTGTCTCCAGTTTTTCAATATTTTCAGAAATTAATGATCATTTCAAAAAATTTGCCGACCTCAAAGCACCAGGATCAATAATAGTCATCAACTTTGAGAACATGATTTTAGGACTAATTTTGGTATTCTCGGCTCTCTCAAGAACACTTCGTTCAATAAGGATTTCATAGGTGGTAATCTTGCCTTCATCGGATATGAAGTTGGTGCTGATTAGGTTAAAAAAAGTCTAAGAAACTCCTTCGACTCAATTGTTCAAAAATAGGCAAAACAGAGTATGAATCCGACTTATTTTCTCCATCTGATTATTCCCTGACTTCATGATCGTTTATGAAGTTAGAATTTGGTGAATTTCAACTCCAATAAATATCCTGATAGTTCGAGGGCCTGGAAGACATTTTACTGGTAATTTTTATGTTAAATATTACCCAATTGATAACTAAATGCTCACTAGGACCATGAAGTTATGTTTGAAGTCTGTAATGAGTAGTTTCCAACTATGCAATTTGTCTATAAAGTTGATGGTTTTTATAGAAAATGTTGAGGTCCTAAACAGGCATTTTACAACCTAATCCATAACTTTCTAGTCACTCAGGGCATAAAGGTAAAATATTTTGTCGGAAATTAGTAAATTTCGACTTCTTCGAGTAATTTCTCCTCTCTGCTTGGTATAATTCTCTTAAAATGTTGGTTGGGATAGTAGTCTTGGACAAAGTATAGTTTTCTACTCGCATTATAATGAGCTATTATTCACTCAGGTTAATTATGCCACTTGCTACGCTCGTGACATAAACTCAACCTTCGTGAATAATAGCCCACATTATATGCTTGTTGAATAATATACTATTTCGGATGATAGTTCAGAGTTCGTCAGAACCGTCGTAGTACCTATACCTACTACAAGATCGATGAGAATATTATTACATACTACAAACAGAATCTACTCGATATTGTCTGTTTATTTGTGTGATATTCAAGTTCGTTTGTCCATATCCAGTTTCAGTTTGTTCTTCCGTTCACTATATTCTGAAGTTTTGTGGGGATTTTCTTTTTCTTTGTGGCTGTTTATCTGAAAGAAGAAATAATTTGAAATCAAAAAATCATAATATTTGCAACAACTGAATTCAAAATATACTATTTTAGAAAAGAGGTTATGCGATATAATGGGTTGCAGGCATCAAGAACTGTCAGATGACCGACCCTGGAGGCACAACATTGAAACACAACCTCACAAGTGATTGAAATAGTTTTTCACAATTATTTTGGCATACGAATCGTATTTTTCGGCTATTTATCAATCCGCTCATGCCATCACATTTGTACAATGCACAAAAACTGCAGCAGAAGACGAAGGAATCCTTTTGGTACATAATGATTTAGAAGTAAGTACCTACTATAGTCACTCACATATAGTTTTATTTTTTGAAATTTGGTAATTTCTCTGATTTCTCATCGGAATTTCTTCTGCGATAGGAGCTAATAGGAATACACATGAAATTTCTAAAATAATGCAAGAAGATTGGATTTATGCAATCAAACGAGAGGACTGGTCTGACATGCTAACGAAATATGATCGTGTGTGTTGTAGACATTTTCAATCTATTAGCAGTATTAGCTTGTATTGCAGATGTGGCAGAAGATATTTCAATAAGAAATGACAAAATTTCATAATGATAACTATGTGAGAATAGTATTTACCTGAAAAATCATATTCCTTCGTCTCTCGCTGCATTTTTTGTGCATCGTACAACAGCAAAATGCGAAGGCATGCTTGAATTAATGTATAGCGCGAAAAACACGATTCGTTTGGCATAATATTGTGAAAAACTATTTCAATCCTTTCGATTCCACTAAAGTGTGGACACGATTGTTAGCACTGATACTTCCGAGTTGTCATAGTTCTCATTAGATTTGAAACTTCAGTTTTGAAAATTGAATAGGCGTACCCGTGAAAATGTTTCCTAATATAATTCCCAAGATGAGACGGCATTTCAAGTGTTCGTTGAAGCTTCAAATCCCAATATTTATCTCATTCATTTTCATTTTTCATTTCACTATACGCCAAGATGTTGGGGTTTCAAATAGTAATATGTATGCACTCGTTCAATGATAGGGTACAGAAAAATGACATTCCATCTGTTATAAAGAATATTTGTATCTCATGTATTTTTGTTTGGCTGTTCACAAGATGAAGCAGTATAGCAGTAACTAACAGTAGTTATTTCCTACTGAGAAAAAGCGAAATACTTAAAATTTCGTTATTTGCAGTGAAAAAATTTGTTTTTAGTAATGTAAACCAAGTAAACATCCCCTGCACTACATGAAAATTTCAAGTACCTACATGGATAGTTTTCCAGATGAAAATTGAAAAACTATGAGTAATACAAACAAATTGATGTGAAGGAATCCAATTAGGAATCATTTTGCGAAAAATAATTTTACAAGTACATCTCAATCTCATAAATCTTTTTTCTTTTCGTTGGCAATTTTGACATAAAAAAATGAGCTATTTCCACATACTCTTCCCTAGCGCCACTTGACAGACAGACATATTTTGATAGACTGAATAGACAATATTGTACCTCCTCGCGTACCAGGTCGCCTACTAGGTTTTCATTCAGATCGACAATGTTTAGGGTTAGTACTTCGAAATAACGAAATGAAATGTTACTGAAAGGGGTCCATTGTACCAGATAGGTCGGCCGTGGGCCCACCATGTACTCACGGCGTCGGGGTGGGGGTAGCCTCGGGTGATTCCAGACACCACTGGTTAAAAGCTTGCCCAGCGAAAACTGGAACTTTGGTGTACCTTGTGCCTAAGTTTGTCAGGGAGGGGGTAGCCCCAAGCGCTCCTATCGCCAGACATCATAGGTAAAGCCAAGTGCTCTCCTGTAAACGAGGTAGAGGAACGTGTAAAAGTCCTCGAACGATCACTCATTCAACGGGACGAGAGAATTCTTGTCAAAATGAGTAGCAATCAGGCGAAAGCCTCTTGCGACGGCGACCCATCAAAAGTTACAAGAGGAATCTTGTTGACTTGGGTACCTGGGGTGTTGAGGATAGCCCCATGAGGCCGTACATACGGCCTGGTACCTCACCAATCGGATTGGACTCCAGGGGGCAGCGGTTCGAAAAAAAACACCACCGGACTACGGTAGAGGAGGTGAAGAAGAATCTCACTATGGGTCAAGTGAGAGGATAGCTTGCTAGCCTCGGCGGGTGAGCAGCGTTTCTGCTCGGGCACTCACACTGCAAAGCCAGTAGTCTGTTTTATCAGACGGCCTCACCATTGGTATACTAAAATGGTAGCAGGAGAACATGCCGTTACATAACGGATATGACTTTAGCGCGCTGATTTGGCGTATCCAAATCTTCCATTTCTCTCTGGGGTGTGCTGTCGCTATAAGTCGAAAGATAGGAGGCCGGCCGTCATCCCCTAGGGGAGTCTTGGAAGGAGGGGGTGGGACCTGGTCTCACCCGTTGCTACCCCGGCAACATTACGATTGATGATGTACCAAATAGGGACGTCGATCTCTAGCACGTTACGGGCTATTAGGGAATAGAAAAAGAAGAAAAACGATGGAAGTGTCTCGAATACTTGTAAATCACCTGTTTACAGCCTAGTCGTATCGGTGGACTTGCGATGACTGCTGTTTCCATTGACGACAAACACCCCTCCTGCGCTGTCCCCCGCTCCCGTGTATCTGTAGTGGCTCCAGCGTGCGTTGCAGTGGTGCGTGCTGCGCACCAAGAACCCCTTCACCGCCTGGATGACGTCCTGGTTTGCGAAGCAGAACAGGCAGGAGCACACCAGGCCCTGGAATAAGAAATATCAGGGATTTGGTTGCAAGAACAAAAAGAAAGATTAGATTTAGAATGGGGCCTTCGGGGTATCTGTCTCCACACTGCGACATTTTCAGATAAATTATGTCTACCCTCAGAATCGATTAGAGTTCTTCGGATAACCCCGCCTTCTCTATGAGACTCCATAGGCTAGCTTTCAGATCCCCTGTGTATCTTTGGGCTCCTGGTTTTTCCTCACCCAGCGCAAGGAACCTAAGTCTTGACAAGCCCTCACAGTGGCAGAGTAAGTGTACTGCGGTTTCCTCTTCTTCCTGACAGAACCTGCACAGCATTTCTTCAGTCAGACCTATCGTACTCATGTGTTTGTTGAGCCTACAATGCCCTGTGAGAAGTGCCACTAGTATTCTAGTTGAAATTCGATTCTGGCTCAGAAGATATTCTGTGAATATTGGCGATGGTTTTTCAATGATCTCTTTTGCCTGTCTCATTCCTGGCGAGTTGTTCCACCATTCTTGAGATTTGGTTTGCATCCATGAGAACTCGAATAACTCGCGAGGATAAGCTCAGTGAGGTCTTGAAGATATCTCACGTAGAAATGTTTTTACAATATCCTCAGAGGAGCACTTTGGGAGATTCGCATCAATCGCTACTACGAGTTATTCAAGGCATTCGTACACACTGCCTTATTACGATGAGATTGGGAGATTCGCATTGAGATCGTTGAGTGGTCGCGACTCAGATACTCGAAATATTCGCACACATAACACATAGTCTTGTGACGAGGATTTGGGGAAATTTGCATCAATTGCTACTCATGAACTCTTGTGCTCTCAAGGTCACCATTGGTATAGATGCTTTTTTAGACCGATTCAAACGATTCTAGTTATGGCGGTCACTTCGAATTTTTTTTGTCGAAAAAATCACGTAAAAAAGAGAATATCCTCATGCGAGTACTTTGGAAGATTCCTCAGATCAATCGCTACTTGCGAGGTCTCGGAATTACGCCTTATGACGAGGACATTGGGAGATTCGCATCCACATATTTCAGTGCTCGCGACTCAGAGATACTTGAGATATTCGCACACATAGTCTTGTGACAAGGATTTTGGAAAATTCGCATCAATTTCTAGTAGTGAACTCTTGTGCTCGCAACGTGACTTTCGGTATAGACGCATTTTTAGACCAATTAAAACGATTCTAGTTATCGCGGTCTATCAACCTTATTATATACCTCCTTCTTGACCAAAATAATTCATCTATAACTTCCATGATGGTATTTTTTTAATTCAGAGCCCCTTTTGTGATATACAGGATAAAGCGATCAAATTATTTTTGCTGAAGAAATATGGCTATCGAACTGATTCCACTTTGCTTTGAGACTTCCGAACCTTGAAAATTTCCGGCCGAGACCTTCGCTCACGGCCGAACCTCAAATAAAAACATCATTGACATGACGAATCACTACCGGCCTCAACAGTAAATGCCAACTCTGTGCATTTTTCAGGGAGGAAGAAAAATACAACATGATAAAATTTTTAAAAAAAGCTAGGTTGAGTACAGCCTCTCCACCTACTACTAGGTTGAGTATGGATATGAACCCGGGACCATTCCAACCATACGCAAGCACGTATCAAAGTATTTTATTGTATCACACCTATTACATTACAACACAAAATAACAATTCACATTCAAGAAAACAGGACATCTTTCTAGAGCTCGGAGCTCTGTGATGAGTCCTCCGCGGGGTGCAGAGGTGGCTGGTGTTGGCCAGGTAATGTGAGTGTATTTGTGAAGGGTTAGTCTCAGAGGCCTATCTCCTGGGGCCAAGCCCTTAATATAGGTGATCTCACTGAGGTTACCCAAGAGGGTGAGGGAGCTGATCAATCGCTATCAGTGGTGGGTGGTTCGAAGGGTACGGAGGAAAGTCCACTCGGCTATCGTAGTTGTTGATAAAATGTGTACAAAATATACGATGACTGAGCGCATGCGTCTCAAAGCAAAGTGGAATCTGTGTCGCTAGCCGCTTTAGCTCCAGCGCGAGATGTAGTAAGCCTAATATTCGAACGTTGAATATGGAATTACTGTCCTGATTCCCAAAATCAAACCAATTTTTCATTTCGATATTCAGTAATCTATCCATTGAAAATGTTGTAATAACTTCAAAATTTTGTGACCAGCCGATATTTATATCGCAACATTTATATTGTGCCCTGGGTTCACATTCTTTCCGCCGGCCATCTTTTACGAGCCGGACTATACGATATGTGATTCCCTAAAACAATAATTGAACATCTGAAAATGTTGGTCATGCCTATTTGAGAACCTAGAGTTCCACTGAAATATTTACTGCTTCAATACAATCATGTTGATCAAACCTTCATCAGAAGTTATAATCACCTATTGCAAAATCCTCATAAGTATACACTTCGTGTAGCTAATTGCTGAGCATGATATGCTGAGAAAAATGCATGTGTTGATTGAAAATGAAATGTCATAATAATATATAACGACTATGTGAGAATTTTATTAAAATAGGGTCCCTCATCAACGACGGGATCAGAACTGAAGGGCCTAAAAACAATGGCAAGGTTCACATAAATCTAATGAAATGACGTACTTGTGACGCTAATGGACAATAAAAATTCAATGGCTGACGACCAATTATTATTTAACGCGTCAGATTGCTTTCATTGTTTTTATCGCCTCCAGGGAACAGATATCCAAAATTATCCAGGCGAATGAATTGCACAAAATTCGAGAACGGATTCCATTTATCATGTTTGTGTGCCTATTTATTTCTTTCTGATTCCGTTAGGAGAGCAGGGTAGTGAACCATATTTTACGTAACCATCAAATGGAGGAAATCATCTGTAATGAAACTTTGTTGAATTTATACAGAGTGTATCTGAATAACACCGAAAAAATTCAAGGAGTGATTCCTTGTGATATTTTAGGAAACAAAGTTCATATGAAGATGTGTCCTAACTTGCTTCGTTTTCGAGATACAGGGTATTAATATTTCAATGGAAAATCTTTTTTCTATTCATTTCCCAATTGTCTTATAATCAATTTCAATTAAACGACGTTGTGTTTTTGTTGATAGGAATATGGAGCTTCTTCTAGTGCAATTATATTCGAAATAATATTTCCAGTGGCGTCACAGTGGGCAGATTCATCAATATTCATGGTGAATATCATTTTACAACACCGGTTTTTGTGAGTTTCATATTTTTATTAGATCGAACTAATCTAATAACAACCTCTTCATCCTTTGTGTGATTTTTCTAGGAAACAATGAAAATTCGATTTGACTCCAAATCTTATTGTAGGTGTTTTCAAGACTTCCATTGAGATTTTTTTTTTTTAGCAATATATCTTTAATCAGGATTTGATTAGAATGTGGTATAAATACATAGTAATTCATAGAATTAATATTGATTTTTATACAGTTGAATTTTTCAGGTACTTTCTAATTTCCTTAACGAATAACTTTTCATCTGGTATTTCCTTAAATGCTTGTGGTATTGAATTATATACATGTATGCACCTATTCATAGGATTATTTAGTGCAACATTTGTTCGAATATTTGGAGGATATATGTTATTTTGATTTCTTACGTTATAGTTATGTATTTCATTGAGGTTCAAGAAATTTATATTATATTATAATATAACTTCATAACCCCAAATAGAATCATTCTGGAATTCAGGGGCTTTCTCAGTCCCCATCCATACTGAATTCAGGCACCATGAGAGCTCATACGGGGAGGTTGTAAATAAAAACAATCAATACTTCCAACTACAACATCCTTAATGTCAAAAACGGAGCAAGTTAGGACACACAATTATGTTCATATGAACTCCATTTGCTTGAATGTCACAAAGAAACACTCCTTGAATTTTTAGGTGTTATTTAGATACACCCTATATATCCTGTTAAAGAAACCTCACTTTCTGATTCACCTTGTATATTCGATTCATACTAAAGATAATTTCTCTGTTTTTTTTTATTGTATGAACATATTAAATTTATTTTCACCCCCTGTAGAACTATTTTCCCGTATCAAATTCAGTCATAGATAAAATTGTATTGTTCAGGAATCGGTTAGGAGAGTGACGTAACTAATTAGTAATCAGGATGATGAATCAGAAAGCCACCTGTCATTCGTCAGTCGTATATTAGATTTCATCGCGTACGGACGATTCAATTGGTTTAAAAAAAAAACTATGAAAATAATTTTACAGTGCCGAATCGAAATGCTTCATACTGCATTATTTGTGTATGTGAGAAAGGTGTGTCTGTGCAGAAGTGTATGTTTTTTGTGGCTGAAATGGCGATGCAAGTTGATCTATTTCAAAATGGTGAGTGTTATTTTTATTTGAATATGGAGATATTTGTCACGTATGGGGGTATCTTGCAATTGTTTAATTATATATGCTTTCGTGAAGTAGGTACTAGATACTTTATTTCTATGCCACATGTATATGGAACAATCAAATATACAAGGTGATCCACGATTGAGTTATGATGTCCACGACATTCGTTTCAGATGTAACACTCTATATGTATATTTTTCAATTCTCGAAATCATCATGAACAGTTGAATTTGAAAATTTATCAGACGTAGGGTTTGTATACAGTGCCTCTGTTAAATTAATGGCTCTCGTAAAGCGCATACAGGGTTGTTCAAGATTCAGAATTCTGATCACTCACAGTAAATAGTGAATCAAAAGTTGAGATAGGGATATGTGAGCCGTTTTTGCCCATAATAAATAGTTTTCACACAAACAAATCCTAACGTTGAAAAATCTCGATTTTGAACAACTAATATCTTTGTAATCATTTCCGATATACCCCAATAAGTGTGATGTATCAATAAAATCAACTTTTCAGTAAAATACAGGGTATTCTATTTGAAATAACAAAGTTGTTGCTACTTTTCGATAGAAGCGGCAATTCTGAAAATGTTTTCAGTGAAGAGAGCGTATTCCTTCAGGTTGGGAAAGCAAGTC